CCCTACTTTTAAGGAAACAAAAATGTTTATGATTTGTTTAGCCTGTGTGGTGGATACCGGCCAGCAGTATCCATGTCTGTTGCGGATGCTCGTCGAAACATGAGAGAAAACATATACAGAGACAACCAGGTCCTATGGGGGAATAGGGACAGAAGGGCCACTCTCTCTCGTGGAGAGCACCCCGTATCTATTCCCAAGCAGATTTTTATTGAGCATACAGACTTAGTTTGTGGATTCACAGTCTGGCAGAAAATATCAAAAGAAGTAGCTGACTTACAAAGGTGCAGACAGAACCCCTGCTGTCATTCTGGGCAGAGATTGGGGTTTTATCTAACAGGGCTCAAAGGGCAGTTTTGGTTTCCTGTCTGTGCCTTCAAATTCTAATCTAATAACATCCTCCAGCAAACAGATCTCACAGGATCTTGCATATTCTATGTCCCAGGCCTGATTACCCAGGGGTCCGCCGTTTCTGGTCTGGGCTGCACCACCCCTGCTAATTTCCGCAGGCCTGAGAAGGGCAGGAGACAGAGGCAGCCAGGAGACTTGGATTTCTCACATCTAAGAACAAAGACTCAGGCTTTGACAAAGCCGAGGGGGCAGGGGTTGATGTCCATCACCCCTTCATATCCACAGACCTAAGTCTCTCCCCTTAGGGCATTCCCACATGATCGTGTCTGTCTTAGATTCATTCTCTTTCTTAGAGAATTGTTACTCATCATTGACTGCCGATCATGCCAGGGAAATAAGTTTTGTCTCCTTAGTGGCTCCTGGTCCAGAGGTCTTTCACTCAGCCTAAGTCACGGGGGGGGGGGGGGGGTTACAGCTTCCTGAGACCAGGCAGGGCGGTCCCCAACAAGCCTGGATAAACAAAGAGGTCAAAATCTATGTTTCATTATTCAAAAGATGATTCTGGTGGGGCAAGGCTGGAGGTGGGCCCAGAGTAGTGCAGGAATACATGGGGTGGTAACCAGGGGTACATTTAAATGAGGACAAGATAACATAAGAAGAAGTTATACTTTGGTACTAGAAGACATAGCCTCAGGACAAAATCACTCATCTAAAGAGAAGGATATTAGCGTACTTCTGTGAGTCACTATACTACACTCAAGGGAAGACAATCAAAATTCTAAACTAGCATATCAGGGTAGTCTGGTTCCTCAACTAAGTTCTCCTAAGAGGCCCTATTCCAGTAATGAAGCTGTCACCTTCATTCTACAGTATACCTTAGGGATAACAGCACGTCCAAAACGATGCCTCAGATTATTACAAAGCTCTCTTCCTGAGAGCCCTAAACTCTCCTTAGTACTCACTCATGCAGTTCTTCTTTCTACATGGAGTAACCCTTCTGTGGCCTCTGCCATTAACACTTTTCTCTAAGACGTGGAAGTTTGGATAGGGAAGTAGGGCTAGTGTGTATACACGGTTGCCCGAAAGACAGGGTTAGGGCTTAATCACAGGCGTTTGTTAGCTCTTGAGCAACAAAAAGCCAGGGCAAAACCAAGAGCTAAAAATGACTAGTCTGGCAGTGCTTTGCAAGGTGCTTTTGAGAGAAAAGAGCCTGAACATAAGAGCGCATGACAGATATCTTCAGGAATTGGAAACTGTTCAATATAGTAAAATACAAGGTTCAAGGGAGAAGTAGGAGTATTATTATACGTCATCTATGTGTGGGATAATGAGAGCCAGAACTAAAGAAGGAGTAGTGTTCATGAGGAAGAATGGAAAGGAAAAATGTCAGGAATTGGTATTAAATTGGGTAAAACTTAGCTGAAACTGGGATGAAATTGGGAAGGAGTCCAATCCATCCCCCCTCCCCCACCAGCTTCTGTGCTGCTTTCCCCAGCTGCAGTGTATCCAGTGCCTTCAGGGCTCAGAGTGCCAGGGCCTTTCTTTTCTTTCCTCTTGCCTTCATCATACTCCTTCCATCTGAGATGACAGAGTGATCAATTTGGGGCCTGACAGTCCTAAAGAATGTCACTTTAACAAGAAATCAAAGCCCATTGGAAACTCTGTAGAGTAGATTACAGGCATCAGCTAAGATGTGGATGGATGGATTGTTTTTTTCTGACCTAGCAGGATGGGCATCTTACACAAGAGATATAAAAAGGAACCGACAAAGGTGACTTTATGAGTTTCTCTCTTACGAGATCTGAAGAGTGGTGACTATACTGCCAGAAGCAGAGATGTTGTAACTTGTAAAACAACAGGCATTAGGCCCAAGAGAAAGACCCGTGAGCCCTAGAAAGTGGGACAAGTTTACATTTCACTGAAGCCATAGGTCTCTTACTCTGCTTGCTCTTCTTCCCCCTAAGATCAAGACTATTTCAAGGGGGAAAAATCATACCCTGATGTTCAAAGGTTTACTGAATGGCAAACTACACAGGAATTCAGAGATTATATAACACAACCCTATTGAATTACAGATAAGTGGAGAGAACATTGGGAGGAAGTGATTTAGTCAAGATCATGCAATCATCCACTACAGCCTGAGTTATGATCCAGGTCTCGAGTTTACCGGTCCTGTGAATTTTCCACCATGCCCACTGTCTTTCTTTAGGCAAGGATTCCCAGGATTGCCTCTGATATTGATAAGACATCAATAAAATAACATAGAAAAGTGATTCTTCAAGTCAACCAGTATTTAAAAGGCATGGTACTAGGCATGAAACACAAAACGAACATGACTTGATTATTGCCCTTTAAGTTGAGTGGGACTAGGTGGGCAGAATGGGGAAGTTCATAACTCCAGAGATGATTATGACTTAAAACAGGAAATGAAAATCAACAAGAAAACTACAAACAAAATACTGCAAGACTTCAAAGGAGAGAAATATTACATGGGGTTAAGAGGATCAGAAATGACTTCTCATTTGACTAGAAACACAGAAGAAAGAGGCACGACTACTATCTTCACTTCATAGAAAATACCAGCCTGGGGACCACCTCAGGCCACCACAGATCACCAGCTCTACCTGAACCACACTTAGAAAGCGCGACAGCCCTTTCCGTGCATAGGGAGTTCTAAAGCAGCAACAATAAAGAGGATGGTGTGGGACCTTATATTTTTAGATTATCTCTGGGCTCTCTTATTTACCTCATTCACTGGAGCTTGACCAGGTTATACCTTCAACGGAGGTTATAGGCTGATAGAAAGAGAGTGAATGAGTGAGAGAGAGAGAGAGAGAGAGAGAGAGAGAGAGAGAGAGAGAGAGAGTGTGTGTGTGTGTGTGTATCCAAATAAAAGGACTGATGGAAAGAGAATGTATATATATTCTCCAAATAAAAGATTTGAATAACTCCTGAATTAAGTAATTGAAGTCAAATCCTGCTGAGGCTATTGTCAGAGACAAGAGCCCTGAAGGAAGCCAAACAGGAAAAAGAGAAAAGGATGAAAGTATAAAGTCCCTGCTAGGTGCAAAGTTCAAACTTACCAAAGGAAGCACAGGAGACAGCTCAGAGTCTCAAAGTGGAGGAAACAACTGCAGTTCCCTCCCAGACAATGTAATGAGTGCACCAAATGGTAATTGCACAGCTACCACGGAAATGGTTAATGAGTATATTGGCCTGGTAAGATTAAACTTCTCATAGCTGGGTCTTTGAAATTCATTAACTTTGTTTCTCTTCCCACACTAGGGAGGAATCTAAGTTTGTCTAAACACAAAACTGTCAAAGAGCCAAAGTTAATTCTCTCCGCAGAGAAGATGAGTGCAATTACATAAGTCCAGGATTGGAAAGGATTTTTTCATTTGCCTGAGTAACAAAATATAAAAGCCAACTCTGTTTTCCACCTGCAACCCATTCTTCACCCAGACTGCTAGGAACAGGTTACCTATGTCAACTCCTTACCTGTAGAAGGTGGGAAAGTTCAGGGAGGAAAAAGAAATTGAAGATCTGAAAAATAATTAAGAGTACACAGTAGACTCAAACACCAATATTGTAGTTGTGGATTCAGGCTCCTAGCTTTAAAACTTATCTGTTCCTTTTTTTTTTTTTAATTTCCTTTACTTTCCTCTTGGTTTCCTTTTTTTTTTTTTTTTTTCAGTAGAGTTCCTTTGGAAAGTCCCAGCCTGTTTATAGTTGCTAAGAATAAACTGGAGGAAGATGTTCATTTTATTGTCACTTAGGAGCACAGATAAGTGAAAAGTGGTAACCTCTGTGGTCTTTGCAAACAGGAATGAAAGGTGCTGTAGGGCAGTGCAAATTTAGAAGAAAAAATGTTCAGGTTGCTGCTGTTCTAAGCCCTTCTGCTCATTTCTTGAAGAGGTATTATACTTTGTTGGATCTTTTTAATCTTTTATTATATATTTTTTTGCATTACCATTTAGTCCCCTTACACCCCCCTCCCCCAGTAATCACCACACCGTGGTCCATGTCCGTGAGTCCTGGACTTTATGATACAGTTTAATGGAAGAGAAGAGACATACACTCGTGAAAAGTTCACTGTACAAACTATGAAGTCATTGATCTCCAAAGGTATACTAGTCATCTAAATAATTTTCAGGGAGAAGAGTTCAAGGTCCTCTAAGTTATCCTTCCTTCAAGGAAAACTGTCCCTAAGCCATCCCAGACCGATATACTTCATGGTTTTGATGTTCTAACTCTTCTTAGAAACCTAGACCCTTGGATGGGAACTCCTACATTATTTCCCCCTCTAACTTTATTAAAAACTGTTTAGAAAAGAAAATAGGGAAAATACCATGATTTCGTAGCAAAGAAGATTTTTATAATACTGTGTTCATCTTTAGATACAGAAGCTATACGCACACAGAAGCAAACATCTGTGGTGAGCCTTGGTCTGTATTCCAAGTTTTGCCCCTGGGTATGTCAAAGTAAATGGGGATAAAAGAATGCAGCATAGACTCCAACGAGTCCTAAATTTGTCCGTAGAGCTTAGATATCCCATCACTCACTTGGATCTGAGTGTAAGGCTGCTAAGCTCCCATGATCCTTCTGGACTGCTTTTAATGTCATTAACTTCCTTTTCAATCTTATCATTTCAGTTTAGGCTTTACGTGATATTACATCATAAGAGGAACTGACCACAAAGCAGAACCCTTCGTGAAAAGTGCCACAGTGCAACGAAGAGGTATGGCTCCGTTTTCTAAATGATTGTTTTTTTGACTTGCAAAGTATCTTCTCAAAGTAACTCCCTTTATCATCTGCACTAAAATTAATTTTATTTATGTTTATTGCTTGTTTATATTAATCAGTTGAAAACCTCTTTCTTGTGTGCTAACACAGCTCTGACCATACTGTATTGTAACCTCTCCATACTGAGCCTATTGAGCCATCACTGCTGACCCCACAACACTGTGAGCTGCTTCTTTTTTTTTCTTAAGATTTTACCTAGAGAGAGGGGAAGGGAGGGAGAAAGAGAGGGACAGAAACATCAATGTGCAGTTGCCTTGTGCACACCCCCAACTGGGGACCTGGCTGCACCCCAGGCATGTGCCCTGACTGGGAATTGAACCAGCGACCCTTTGGTTCACAGGCTGGTGCTCAATCCACTGAGTCACACCAGCCAGGGCAGCTTCTCAGGTAGGAACGGGGTATTAGGCATCTCCTTCTCCATATAGTATGGGTCTCATTATTGGGGGACCAGAGTAACGCCACAAAAAATGAACTAAATACTATTTAAGCCCAGCAAAAAGCCCTCATCTGTAAAATGAACGGCTCGGATGGAGTAAATGATGCCTACCCCTTAACGACTTATTGTTTGAGAGTTTTACAGTCTTTTCTAATGACCTAATATAAGTCACTAATTTGATTTAGTTATAAACAATTGAACCTTAATGGAAAGAGTACTTGGACATCTTAATTTGGTCTGTGAGAACTGGAAAGTTTATTAATGAGACTAAAGATCATCTGTTTCTTTGTTTTTTTATTAATTTCTTTATCAGTTTTATTCGGCATAGTTCATTCAATAATCTGGGCATTTGAAATGTACTTACAATATTTAACAAACAAATGATTACTCTGTATTACTCTGTATGATTTTACGGCCTTCCTCAATACTTTAGGAAGCAGCTGTACTTAACAGAGCCACTGTAAGCCCTGAGGCTGGGAAGCTTTTCTTTGGGTTGGCCAAAAAGTCCTTTCAGGTTTTTTTCTATAAAGTAAAAGACACATGTTTCATTTTCACCAAAAACCTTACTGATTTGGATATTCTGAGTATGTTGGCTTTGTCTTGTGTGGTAGAATGTTGCTTGTTCTCAATCAGTCAATGTCTTGATTTGATCGCTATCAACTTCAACTGGTCTACCTGACCATGGAGCATCGTCCAGCAAGAAATCTCCACCATGAAACTTCACAAACCACTTTTGACACCTTCGATCAGTCACAGCACCTTCTCCATAAACTGAATGTCTTTTTTTTTTAGTTTCAGCTGCATTTTTACCTTTCATGAATAAATAATAAATAAATAATAAAGCACCATATGCTGAAAATGTTGCACATTTTCTTCCATCTTCAGTATTAAAACAGCTACCCAAAAGTTCACCAATTTTGATTGCTTTTTAAATGCACGCTGATATGACAGTACGCTCACAGTACGATCTAACACAATTGTTTCGAATGAAGTTACAGGCAACTAAGTGCCACTAGAGCCATCTTATGGAAAAAAAAAAATGAACTTTTTGGCCAACCCAGTATTTATATTAGAATGGAAAGATAAGTGTAAGTGATTTCGAATGAGAATCACTTCAAATCATAAACTTGTTCCATCTTTCACTTCCTCATTCACTCAATTGAATGTTTTGAGCACTTATAGTCAAGGTACATCTGTGTTAGCCCTGTACGCGGTGCCTTCCTATGTAGCGTATAGATAGTCTGCGAAGGAAGATAATATAGGCATACAAATCACTGATCTGCAAGATAAATTTGAAGTTCCTCAGGAAGGAAAAATACAGAAGTCACTTTGGAGGGGCGCTGAGGAAAGCCTTGGTCAAGAAAGTGTCACTTAAGCTGAAGGACAGCAGTTTTTTGCACATAGACGGAGAAAAGAGCGTTTCTAGTAGAAGAAATCCATGAAGATAGACAGGCGGGGGGAAAACATGTAGAAAATGTCCCTGGAACTGTAGAATAGTTGTTCCAGTGAATCTGAGGGTGTGCAAAAGGAAGAAGTGAGACAAGAAGCTAGGCAAGTTTAGCTGCAAGCGAACTGTAAAAAGCCTTAATTGGGCCAAGGAATGTGGATTTTATTCTGCAGGCACTCAGGAATCAGTGAAGGTTTTAGAGCAAGGACGTGACATAATTGGAAGCTATTATGTATGGAAAATTATTCTGGAAAGAGTTCATGGCAGGGTATAGTGAGGGTCGACGGTGATGGGAAGGAGAGATGGTAATTATTGAGTATCCTGTGAGCAAGGTACCTAAAACAAAGGCTTTGTCAAAAATCCCAACAGCGCCATCTAGTGCTTCACAACGTAACACTGCTCTTTTGGGGGGAAACCCAATAGGCTAATGAAAAAAGCCTCGATTATGTTTAGGCAGTTTCCCTTTCTTTCACGATCACACCAGACTTCAGACAACAAATGGTGAAAGAGATAGGTAACTAGAAAGCAAACTGAGAAATAAGGCAGAGGTTGGGAATAGTGAACTCATTTCTCTCCATTGTCTTATGATATCCACCCTCAGGATGATTCATCTTCAATGTTTTATCATATACCAACAGTTCTTGGTGAACATAATAACATTTTTAATGAAAAGGAAATATGGGACTAGCCTGGATGGATAGATGGCTGACACATCTTTGCAGCAAATATAATTGCTAGCAGTAGTAAGCCTGAAGTTTTATCCCACCTACAACCCCTACCATAGCTGTCTGTTTCTGTGTCCCTGATGCAGACACGAGATCAGTCTCCTCCATTGCTGGCAGTTCTTGCATGCGCAAGCGGTCCTCTCAGCTTACAAACTCTAACTCCTCTCTTACCACGGAGCAAAAGCTTTGTAAAAGGCCAATGAATTAGACTTCAACCGAACATTATCCACCATATTATATATTGATGAGTTGCTCCCCTCTTCCCAAAGAATAAAAGAATCTGGAAGAACAGTAAAGAAATCACTCCTTCCACACTATCTTATCCCCATTTTTATCTGATCAGAGCTTATTGATTGCCCTGATTAACTGTCCTGATATGGTTGAGCTAAACCAGATTAAGTAACAAATTCCTGCTATAAGAAATGATCATGTATTGTCCAACAGGAAGGTTTTGAGTGTGAGTCTAACAGAACAAAGATGAACAGCAACAACAATATACTCACAAAGTACCGCATTTTGCTGGGTATAATGCACACTTTTTTGCCCACATTTTTAGGTAAAAATCAGGATGTGTATTACACATGGGTAGTACCTGAAATACCTTGTGTCTGTTCTTGTGTTTTAGAATTATTTGTTGCATAAAATTTCTTGTGCCGTAATATGTTCAATGCTAACATTTCTTTATAATACAAAAAAAAACAAGTATCTAAATGTAAATAAGTAAAAATTGAAATAAAAGTTACAACGAAAGACATTTTTTCCTGAAAGTTTGGGCCAAAAACATGGGTGTGCAATATACACAGCAAAATAGGGTATATTCCAATGAGTTATACTGCACCTTTCCTCAGAGACTTAAGTTATGGTATAGATTTTAGAAGTGCATTTCACCTCTACGCAAGTATTTTCCTCATTAAAATAACGGCATGGCTTCCGAAATGTCTCCCGCCTTGGTGGTCAGAGTCAACCACATTATAGATTAAGATTATCCCCCAGGGGAGTTCTCTTAACAACAATTCCAATTACTTTTCCTGGGTAGAAGCATCACCCAGCAGATGTTACCCACTAAGCTCTCTTCTTGATAGAACCCTGCATTTTCACCCAGATTATCTTTTCCAAAAGAATTCAGTGCTCTTCCAATAAATAGATGATAGATAAATAGATACATTGATAGATGATAGATAGATAAATAGATAATAGACACATAGATGCATATTTATGAAACTATACTTTCCTTAGAACTTTTCTCTAATTGAATAACTCACAGTGAAGATTGACAGATGAGTATTGGAGTAATAATACTTAAAATAAAGCAGAGCTGTTGTACCTAGGTCTTGGAGATTAAGGGGAAGTCCATCAGGCAAACATGGGGAGAATAGGGAAGATGAAAGAGTGCTTCTCCTGGGGACAAGGTGCAGCTGAATCCCTCCTCATTGTCCCCCAGCCCTTGCTTCCTGCCATGGTCAAAGTGCATACAGAGTGACACTATAAAGTGAAACCTTAGTACTTCCTGTTATTTATGGTCTGGTAAAAATTGATAAGCCTTTTATAAATACGTGCGTCTATGTATTGTAGGCACCGAGCAGACATTCCTAGAAAAACATGGATGGAGCTGGAAACCTGACAGCATCCTCGGCCAGCAATAACACGTGCAATGGCTCTATCGAAGACTTCCGCAATCAAGTGTACTCCACCATTTACTCTATGATCTCCGTTGTGGGCTTCTTTGGCAACGGCTTTGTGCTCTGTGTCCTCATAAGAACGTATCATGAGAAGTCAGCCTTCCAAATATACATGATTAACCTAGCGGTATCAGATCTACTCTGCGTATGTACACTGCCTCTCCGCGTGGTCTATTATGTTCACAAAGGCATGTGGTTCTTTGGAGACTTTTTGTGTCGCCTCAGCACCTATGCCTTGTATGTCAACCTCTATTGCAGCATCTTCTTCATGACCGCCATGAGCTTTTTCCGGTGCATTGCTATTGTTTTCCCAGTCAAGAATATTAATTTGGTGACAGAGAAAAAAGCCAGATTTGTGTGTGCTAGCATTTGGGTTTTTGTGATTTTGACCAGTTCTCCATTTCTAATGTCCAAAAGTTACAAAGATGAGAAAAACAATACCAAGTGCTTTGAGCCTCCACAGGACCATCAAACTAAGAATCACATTTTCATCTTGCATTATGTGGCGCTGTTTGTTGGGTTTCTCGTTCCTTTTACTATTATAATTGTCTGTTACACAATGATCATTATGACTTTGCTAAAAAATTCCATGCAGAAAAATCTACCAAGTCGCAAAAAGGCTGTAGGAATGATTATAGTCGTGACCGCTGCCTTTTTGATCAGCTTCATGCCATATCATATTCAACGTACCATTCACCTTCATTTTTTGTACAATGAAACTAAACCTTGTGATTCTGTTCTTAGAATGCAAAAGTCAGTGGTCATAACTTTGTCTCTGGCTGCATCGAATTGTTGTTTTGACCCTCTCCTGTATTTCTTTTCAGGGGGGAACTTTAGGAGAAGGCTGTCTACATTTAGAAAGCATTCTCTGTCCAGCATGACTTATGTACCCAAGAAGAAGGTCTCATTGCCGGAAAAAGACGATGAAATATGAAAAGAATAGTGTAAACCCATCTCTGACGCAAATCAATGAAATATAGTTTCCTGAGCAAGTATTTTCTCAAATAATTATAATAAACATGACGACTTCCACTAATAATTTACAAATACTTAACTAGATGCATGCCTATAAATTTATCTCATTCATGCATCCACATTATGATAGGCCCTAAAAGTGTTTTTAAGTGTTAAAATTTCCATCCACAACTATTAACTAAATCATCTGGCTGATAGCCCAGTGGGTTGAGCACGGGCCTGTGAAGCAAAGGGCCACAGGTTCGATTCCCAGTCAGAGCACATGACTCAGTTGCAAGCCAGGTCTCCAGCGGGGGGCATGCGGGAGGAAACCACACATTGATGTTTCTCACCTTCCCTTTCTCCTTTCCTTCCTCTCTCTCTAAAAATAAAATAAATAAAATCTTTTTAAAAATTTTCATCCCATAACTATTAACTAAATTATAAATTTGATCATTTGTCACGAGGTGAAGAATACTCATGTATTGGCACTTAAAAAAATGGGTACAAGATCAAGAATTTCCCCTCAACTGAAAGCTTTACAAAGGACAAGAACTAGCCTTTTCAGATGTAAAATTAACAAACAGTTTTCGACCATACTAACATGTCCTTCTGCATGCATGGCATCAGATGACAACTGGAATGACCCAGGAGCTACATAAACTGTACTGCCGCCTTCTTCCTTTGTAGCATTGACTGACGAGGCCAAGTAGGGCCATTTCTCCCAACAGAACATACAAATGCTAGAAAAGCCTGGTAGTCAGCCAAATGGCCCTTAAAAGGCCCCATGCAATGTATAGTCTGCAAACTAAGGGAGATAAACCTGGTCAAAGACCAGTTAGTGTCCAAATGTCTTCTGCTCCTGACTCCCAACCCCTAAAAGACAATGGTGACACTTTTGTTCATCACTGAGGTTCTTATAGGGAATTCTCCCCCTATATGACACACAGACCTTCCTCAAGAAACCAGACAACTGGCATTTCTATCTTTGAACAGAAGTAGTTAAAAATGTAATGAAAATGGGTCTACATTTCTACATGCTCATTACTGGGATCAAAATGTTCTAAAATAGATTTTTAAGAAAAAATTGTTGATATTATAAATTGTTTTAAGGAATACTTATATTTATGCTTATGTGTATAATGATATGTAAGAAATTTTGCTCTGTGATATACATTTATGAGTGGAAGTGAATTACAAGCTGTACTAGTGTTTTATACTTTTTACTTTTTTATTGGCATGTTGACAGGAATATCAAGGATATGTTTACAATGGTTTTTATATCACAGTGAAAGCTTTGTTCTTAAAACAGCAAACAAAAATTTGATTATTGCTGAAATATAATTTTCATGTACAAGTTTCTACCAAATTGTGGTCTGTTCCTTAATTCTGTGTTTCAAAAGGCATATTACTTCAGAGGAAATAAATGATAATGGGGAAAAAAGTGAAGTTATGAAAAGAGGACTTCTTTCTAAATGGGTATGTTATTTCTATTTCATATCTAATGTTGCAAATCCATTGGGTAAAAACTCAAAACATAAGGAGAGAGGACCTCAAAGACACAGTAATAACTGATGCCCACTTTTCTTTTTAATTAAATTTATAGGGGTGGCATTGGTTAATGATATTATACAGGTTTCAAGTGTACATTTCTATAATACATCATCTGTATATTGCATTGTGTGCCCACCACCCAAAGTCAAATCATCTTTTGGAGCCATATATTTGAACCCCTTTAACCTTCAATAACCCCCACCCCCTTCCCTCTGGTAAGTACCATGGGGGTTTTTTGTTTGTTTTGAGAGGATGTTTATTAAAGCTGGGGGCAGTGAAACTTGGAAGGGCTTAGGATAGAAGAAGCAACAGGAGAGAGTCTAGGTGGGGCTGCCTTAGCTCACTGAGAAGTCAGAGAAAAGGGGGCCTTGGAGACAGGTTCAAGGGGTAGGTGGGGACGAGCTACCAGTGCCCACTGTTCTCCTGCTTGCAAGTCTCATGGGGTCCCATAGAATTTAGGTGGTGCATGTCTGAGAGGGAAGGGGAGGAAGAAAACGGTGCAGGCCTGCTCCTGGGAGTGGGCGTGCACCTCACCTGACAGTATTATGAGAGCTGCCTTTCTGTAACTGACTGCTTTTCTCTTGCTGCTTTTAAGATTCATTCTTTGTCTTTAACCTTTAGCATTTTAAACATGATGTGTCTTGGAGTGGGCCTCCTTGGGTTTATCTTGATTGGGATTCTCTGCACTTCCTGGATTTGTGTGTCTATTTTCTTCACCAAGTTACATAAGTTTCCTATCATTTTTTAAAACAGGTTTTCAATTTCTTGCTCTCTCTCTCTCCCCTTCTGACACCCGCCATTGTTCATGCCCATGGGTCATATATATAACTTCTTTGGCTACTGCATTTCCTATATTGTACTTTACATCCCCATGGCTATTCTGCAACTACTTATTTGTACTTTTTTTTTAAAGATTTTATTTATTTATTTTTAGAGAGGGAAGGGAGAGAGATAGAGATAGAGAGAGAGAGAGAGAGAGAGAGAGAGAGAAACATCAATGTGCGGTTGCTGGGGGTTATGGCCTGCAACCCAGGCATGTACCCTGGCTGGGAGTCGAACCTGGGACACTTTGGTTCCCAGCCCGCGCTCAATCCACTGAGCTACGCCAGCCAGGGCTTATTTGTACTTTTTAATCCCCTCACCTCTTCACTCATTCTCTCTCTCTCCACTCCCATCTGGCAACCATCAAAACGGTCTCCATGCCCTGGCTGACAGAGCTCAATGGATTGAGTGTGGGCCCGCAAACCAAAGGGCTGCTGGTTCAATTCCCAGTCAGGGCACATGCCTGGGTTGCCGGCTGGGTCCCCGGTGTGGGGGGGGCATGTGAGAGGCAACCACACATTGATGTTTCTCTCCCTCTCTTTCTCCCTCCCTTACCCTCTATCTAAAATAAATAAATAATTTTTTTAAAAATTAAGACCTCTATATAAGTTGTCTACAAGGACCCACCTCAGAATAAAAGACACGCAGACTGAAAGTAAAGGGATGGAAAAAGTTGCCTCATGAAAATAAAAAAGAAAAGAAACTGGGGTAGCAATATTTATATCAGACATAACAGACATTTAAACAAAGGCTATAATAAAAGACAAAGGAAGACACAACATAATGATGAAGGGATAAATTCAACAAAAGGATAAAACCCTTGTAAATATTTATGAATTCATTATAGAAGTACATAAATATATTAAGTAAATCTTGAGGACATAAAGAGAATGATTGATAGTAATACAGTGATAGTAGATTTTAACACCCCATTGAGATCATTGGATAGATTTTCCAGACAGAAAACCAACAAGGAAAGAGCTGTCTTAAATGGTACACTAGACAAGATTAACTTAATTGATATTTTCAGAGCATTGTACCCCAAAGTAGTATAATACACTATTTTTTCAAAATCATATGGAACATTTTCCAAGATAAACCACAAGTTAGGCCATAAACAAAGTCTCCATAAATTTAAAAAGATTAAATCACAGCAAACGTCTTCTCCAACCAAAATGGCATAAATACAGAATCAATTACAGAAAAAAAGATTGAAAAGCACATAAACACATGAGGCTAGCAATCATGCTGCTACACGGTGAAGGAGTTCACAATCAGATAATGTGCAATAGGCCAGTCAGAGAAAGACAAACGCCATATGATCTCACTCATATGTGGAATCTAATGAACAAAGTGAACTAACAAGCAACATAGAGACAGACTCATAGACGGTGAGCAGGATGACAGCTGGGTGGGGGGAAGTAAAGGGGTGGAGGGATTGAGCAAAAAGGAAAACAGACTCATGGACATGGACAACAGTGTGATGATTGTGAGGGCAGGGGGTGGGTGGAGGTAGAAGAGAGTATAAGGGGGATAAATGGTAATGGAAAAAATACAATAAAAACACGAAAAGGATAAACATAAACCTTGAGACAAATGGAAATAAAAACACCATGACCCAAAATCTATGGGAAACAATAAAAACAGTCTTAAGTGGAAAATTCATAGCCATACATGCCTACCTCAAGAAACAAAAAAATTCACATAAACAATCTAACCATACACCCAGAAGAACAACAAAGTCCAAAGTGAGTAGATGGAAGTAATAATAAAGACCCAAGCAAAAATAGATGAAATGCAGTCTACAAAAAAATGAAACCAAGAACTAGTTTTTTTAAGGTTTTATTTATTTATTTTTAGACAGAGGGGAAGGGAGGGAGAAAGAGAGGAAGAGAAAGATTAATGTGCAGTTGCCTTTCACACGCCCCCTACTGGGGACTTGGCCTGCAACCCAGGCATGTGCCCTGACTGGGAATCAAACTGGGGACCCTTTGGTTCCCAAGCCCACACTCAATCCACTGAACTACAGCAGCCAGGGCCAAGAGCTAGTTCTTTGAAAAGATAAACCAGATCTGTACACTTGACCCAGACTCATAAAAAACAGAGATGACCCAAATAGATAAAATAAGAAATGAAAGAGAAGTGACAGCTTACACCACAGAAATACAAAGGATTTTATGAAACAGTAGCTATTATATGGCAAAAGTTGCTGGAAAATGGATAAATTCATAGAAACATACAATCTTTCAAGACTGAATCAGGAAGAAACAAAAACCTGTAACATACAGGATACTACCTCAGAAATCTAATCAGTAATCCAAAAAAACCCTCAACAAACAAAAGTCCTGGCTTCACAGGTGAATTTCACCAAACGCAAAAAATAATACATATCCTGCTCAAACTATTCCAAATAACTGAAAAGGAAAGAAGGCTCCCAAGTCCATTTTATGAGTTTATGCTGATAACAGAACCAGACAAAGATACTACAAAAAAGAGAATTAAAGGACAATAACCTCTGATGAACATAGAATCAAAAATCCTCAACACAATTACCAGCAAACCAAATTCGGCAAAGCATTAAAAAGATCATACACCATAATAAAGTGAGATTTATTCCTGGGATGCAAGGTGTTTTTAAATTTTTAAAGATTTTATTTCTTTTTAGAGAGAGGAGAAGGGAAGGAGAAAGAGGCAGAGAAACCTCAATGTGCAACAGACACATTCATCAGTTGCCTCTCACACATCCCCAAGTGGGGACTTGCCCTGCAACCCAGGCAAGTGCCCTGATTGGCAAACGAACTGGCAACCTTTTGGAGTAAAAGCCAGCAACCAATCCACTGAGCGACACCAGCCAGGGCACAAGGTGTTTTTAATATCCACAAATCAATTAACATGATAAGCCACATAAACAAAATGAAGGATAAAAATCATATGATCACATCAATAGATGCAGAAAAAATATTTGACAAAATCCAATGTCCATTTGATAAAACCTCCGAACAAAATGTGATCAGAAGGAATGTACCAAAACATAATTAACAAAGATTATATATGACAAACTCACAGCCAACATCATACTCAATGGGGGAAAGCTAAAATCATTTTCCTTTTTCTGAATTTTTTTTTTCAATTACAGTTGACATACAATACTATGTTAGTTTCAGGTATATAACCCAGTGATTGGACATCATATAACCTACTAAGTTATGACTCCAATAAATCCAATACCCATCTTTCACCATACTTAGTTACTACAATATTATTGACTATATTTTCTAGCTTTTTCTTTAGTATCAAGAACAAGACATCCCCTCTAAAAATAAACAAATAAAATCTTAAAAAAAAAAAAGAACAAGACAAGGTCATCCACTTTTACTACTTTTATTCAACATCATATTAGAAGTCCTAGTTACAGCAATCAGACAAGAAAAAATAAATCTAAATTGTAAAGGGGCAGTAAAACTGTCATTATTTATAGATGACATAATACTATATAGAGAAAACACTACAGACTCCACTAACTACTAGAAGTGATAAATGAATTCAGCAAAGTAGCAGAATACAAAATACCAATAAATATTCAGAAGTCAGTTGCATTTTATAAACCAATAATGAACTATCAGAAAGGAAAACTAAGAAAACAATCCCACTTAAAATTATACCAAAAAATATTGAATACCTAGGAATAAATTTAACCAAGGGGTAAGACCTATACTCAGCAAGTTATAATACTTTGAAGAAAAACATTAGAGATCATACAAATAAATGGAAGCATATACTGTGCATATGTATAGAAAGAATTAACATCATTAAAATGCCCATAATATCCAAAGAAATCTATAGATTCAATGGAGTGCCTATCAAAATACCAATGCAATTTTTCAGAGAGCTACAACAAAGAACATTAAAATTTATAAAGAACCACCAAAGAAAAACCTGAGTAGCCATGGCACTCCTGAGAAAGAATAAAGTTGGAGGCATCATGTTACCTGACGTCAAACTATACAAGGCTATAATCAAAACAACATGGTGCTGGCATAAAAACAGACACATAGATCAATGGAACAGAAGAGAGGGCCCAGCAATAAACCCAAGGCTATACAAACAACTAATATACAACAAAGGAGGCAAGTACATACAATGGGGTCAAGATGGTCTAGTTGGGAAAACTGCACAGATTAAACACAAGAAAATTAAATTAGATCACCTTAGTAAGAGCATATACAAGAATACATTCATAAAGAATGAAACACTTAAATGTAAGAGCCAAAACCACACAAGTTCTAAAAGAAAACATATGCAGTAAACCCTCTGACACTGCTCTCAGTAATGTTTTTTTTTTTTTCCCTTATATTTCACCTTGGGCAGAGAAAACAAAAAATAAACAAAAGGGACTACCATCAAACTACAAATCGTTGGAACTTCTGGTCAAAATGGCAGCATAGGTAAACATGGTTCTTGCCTCTTCCCACAACCACATCAAAATTATAACTAAACTGCAGTCCAACCACAATTCAGAGCTACCTGAAATCGAGCTGAATGGGAAGTCCCACGACTACAGAATTGGAGAAGAAACTGCATTGAGACTGGTAGGAAGGGCAGAGATGCAAACTGAGCTGGTCCCACACCCAGGGACAGTGGATAAAACTCAGAAAGGGTATCTCAGCTGTGGAGATTGGCCCTGAGGAGCACGTGTTCCCAGCCCACACCAGGCCTCCCAGCTCAGGGCTCCAGTGCCAGAAAAGAAGTCCCCATAACTCCTGTCTCTAAAAACAAGTGCAGGCTGAGGCTGAGGGAGATGGAAACTTCTGGAGTCCTAGGCAGTTCCTCTTAAATCCTCACCAGAAAATCTCTTTATTGATTTTAGAAAGAGAGCAATTGAGAGAGAGAGAGAGTGATAGAAGAGAGAAACATTAATCGGTTGCCTCCCATACACACCCTGGCTGGGGATCAAACCAGCAACCTAGGTATGTGCTCTGACTGGGGATCGAACCTGCAACCTTTTGGTGTACAGGATGACACTCCAACCAACTGAGCCACCTAGCCAGGGCTTAACCACATTTTAAATACAGCAACTAACAAGAACTATTATGTGTTATGTAATATGCTAAGTGTCTTCACATATATTACATATGTTACATCCTGAACGGAGACCTTTGAAGTAGAAATTATCCCTATTTTTTAAAGAGAGAAAAAGACATTCAGAGAGATTAAGGGACTTACTTAGGACCACCAAGCTGGTGGAGGGGGAAGTAAGCTGAAGTGGGAACTTGAACCCAGACCTGCCTGATTTCTAAGTGCACTGCCTTTCATTTCCAGGGGTTGGGTTTTAAACCTAAATGCAATAGGGAGTACCTCTCACGCACTATAAGAAATCTTTTTTTTTAAGATTTTATTTTATTTTTTATTTTTAGAGAGGGAAGGGAGGGAGAAGGAGAGAGAGAGAAACATCAATGTGCGGTTGCTGGGGGCTGTGGCCTGCAACCCAGGCATGTGCCCTGACTGGGAATCGAACCTGCGACACTTTGGTTCACAGCCCGAGCTCAATCCACTGAGCTATGCCAGCCAGGGCTATAAGAAATCTTTAGAGAAGTACCACATAGAAGTTCAGGGTATGTGGCCATAATTGATAAATGTGTATATTTTAACATGAAATTATACTCTTCACTAGAGATAAAAATGAGTCTTTTTTGGTTGAAATTAAAACTTATTTTGCATTTAGTTTTCAGAATTTTCCAGTCAAATAACTTTTCATGTTATTTGCAAATTCTACACATTTTCAAATCAGATATTTATTTCCAGTGGTCAATCAAGGTGTTCTCTTTTGCGCAAACAGATCTTTGCCCACAAAATGGAGGGAAGGAGTAACCCCAGTGGAGAAGTAAAATATACTACCTGTCCAGAAAAACCTGGATCCCCTAAAAAAACGCACGTAAAGGGAGAGATTCATGCATGTAGAGTAAAAATTGGGTGGTATAAGTAATATTTTTGTATTTAAAATTTACCATGTCTTAAAAGTAACTATTAAAAGGAAATCTTCCTCTAATTTGCCCTCAGTTTTAGAAAATATTGTCTTAATCATTTGTATCTGAAATATTTCACCATATAAATGAGTTTAGGTGTAAACTGTGTTGTTTTTACTAGTTCTCTATTGAGTTCCCTACTTCTATCTCATTCATGTATGAGCAAATTACTGAACTTTATATGGCCCTTACAATTATGATTATTCCAAATAAGACTGTATCTAATATAGAAGCCAAAATTAGAAGGACACGTCAAAGATAAATGTCAACTTGACATAAATTATATTTGTGCAAATTATTTTGCCTCCAAACTGGCAAAATCAACTTTTACATACATACGTTGAGCATTTCAGTCTTTTCCAGAGAACTTTAAAATATTCATTAAATGCTCCATGTCCAATATTTCAGCCTGTAACTTGGATTATGTTTTTATCATCATTATTCATGTGAAAATTAATATCCTATCAAACTTTGTTTCTATTTTCCCTTCCATGAAAAAATTTGAGATAACTTTCTGGTAAAATACTTTTAAGTTTATTCAAGAGGGAAAAAAAGGAATAATTTTAATTTCATTTCTCTTTTCAGGACCACCCAAAGACGATGGTAGGACATGCATTTCAAGTTATAGTTTAGAAGTTAGTGAAAATTCAAATGGTAAGGCATCATGGTTTTTTTTAAGTTTATATTTTGAAATAATTTCATATTATCCTAAAAGTTGCAAAAACAGTACAAAGAAGTCCCACGTATATTCTTCACCCTGCTTATTCTAATACCTAATATCTTATACAGAACTTACCTGGATTTCCCCAGTTTTTGGTAATAAATCATGTTCACTTACTGATGTTTTATGAGCTTATGATCAATTCTACAGGGAACATAAATATTTAACTATAGTAAAAAGGTAATTGGACCACAGCTAATTTCCGAAATGGTCATTTCTTTCTACATACATGAGAACACAGCAGGAAGCCATAAAATTTATAAGCTATACATATACTGGATACATTTGCTTTTATGTTTTCAGTGAATTTCTGGAACATAATCTGCAACGGAGCTACAAGAGAATTTCTATATGATCACCTGCAACCTGGTACTACATATAAACAGAGTCTTTTTTGTGCTTCTATAGGCCGAAGCCAGGTGAGGAAACAGAGACGGGGAAGTTTTTGAATTGAGAATTGAAATGAACTGTATCGTACTACCAAATGTGTTTACAAAAGTAAGATTGAATTCTTTACAGTCACAAGGCGTTTTGTCTTCAGACATACTAACCAAATGCCACGCTTTCTCTTACACGTTGCTGTTCTCTGCCCTTGAAGGGTGAAGCAGAGTCCAAACAAACCAACGTCCAGTGTGGTCAGGTTTCCTGCGTGATTTGCATAATTGTACCTACACTTCCTGTATTGTAACCTCTGGTTTGTAGACAATAAATGTTATTAAAGCAGAGCAAATGGTTTTCTCGAACAACAAAATCAAATAATGCTAGAAAATTGTTTCTCACATGGTCATTAAAATTCTAATTTTTTTAAAGCTAAGGGTTTTTTATATGTTTTTTTTAATATTTTATTTTTTAGAGGGAAAGTAAGGAGAAAGAGAGAGAGAGAAACATCAATGTGTGGTTGCTGGGGGCCGTGGCCTGCAACCCACGCATGTGCCCTGACTGGGAATAGAACCTGCGACACTTTGGTTTGCAGCCTGTGCTCAATCCACTGAGCTACGCCAGCCAGGGCAAAAATCTAAATCTTTTAAATGTCTGGAACTGAAAAAGTAAGTTGATACAAATTGAGTTCTACATTTTTTTGTTTTGTTTTTAAAGATTTTATTTATTTTAGAGAGGGGAAGGGAGGGAGGAAGAGAGGAAGAGAAACATCAGTGTATGATTGCCTCTCATGTGGCCCCCACTGGGGACCTGGTCCACAACCCAGGCATGTACCCTGACTGGGAATCGAACTGGCAACCCTTTGGTTCGCAGCCCACACTCAATCCACTGAGCTACGCCAGCCAGGGCAGTTCTATGTTATTTTATTGTTCCACAGAGTCTTAAATTGTTTTGTACTAAAGCAACTTTATGTGCAGGGTGGAAGGGAGTGAAGGGGGGGGGGAATGGGAGAACTGTAATAGCATAATCAATAAAATATATCTTAAAAAAGAAGCAGCCTGAAAGTTATTTGAAAAAACTTTACATTTATTTTGTGTATTTTTATAGACAACCCTCTTCCTAATGTAAACTCGGAGGCACTTGCATGTGAAAAAGGCGAAGGAGAAGCAAGATGACACCAGAGGGCGCTCTTGCTCCAAAATGAGATGCCTGGTGAGAAAAACAGGACTGGGGTGGTTACATTGTTCCCCTTGATCCATTTGTAGTTCATTTCACTTTGGATGAATATCAGGTGTACAGCTTCCACTTCCTGTCAACATGGGGAGTGAGCATGCCTGCGCAATAATTTGTGCGTTTGCTTATTTGTAGTTTGGATCTCCTTCAACACAGTGTGAAACCGCCAAGCCCAGGCCTTCCTTCTCCAATCCATGTGGTTGTTACCTGGGAAGTACGTTATCAATTTATTTTATTTTATTTTGAACAGATTTTTAATTTATTTTTTGAGAGAAGGGAAGGGAAGAAGAAAGGAGGGAGAGACACATCATTGTGTGGGTGCCTCTCACATGCCCCTTACTGGGGACCTGGCCTGCAACCCAGGCATGTGCCCTGACTGGGAATCAAACCCGAGATCCTTTGGTTCACAGGCCAGTGCTCAATCCACTGAGCCACAACAGCCAGGGCTCAATTCTCTTAATTTCACTTGTGCCTTTTGGTGTTAATTATGGCTTTCTTATGTTTTTTTCTACACTTATCTGTATCTCATAGCATTTAATACACTATAATCTGTGACGCTGAAAGGAGCATGTCATAACTCTCCACAGTATCCAGTAAACACTGGTAGGAAAAACTCAATTTCTGTTTGCTGCATCTTTCAGATATCCGCACGTAATGGTGCTCAAATCACCGGTTATAGACTAGAATAGGGACAAATTGAAGAATCGCTGCTCTTGATTTACCCTGGCCTTTGTCTACGCTACGAAGTGCAAGGTCTCAGTGCAGCAAGTACATATTTTTGCAGAGTTCAAGTAATCCTAACAGTTTTTCCAATGTAAGTAAGGCAACAACTGGTGGCCTATGTCATCCACATTTATAATTTCCAGTGTAGCATTTCCAGTGCAGATAGCACGAGGGAGTCACACACTTCTAAACCTTTTGATCTCACCCTTCACCGGGACCTAATCAACAAAAGAAAAGACATACAAAATATACCCAGAGACATTGAAATGAAGAACAATCTAACAGCAGCCAGAGGGAAGGGAGGAGGGGACAGTGGGGAGAAGGGTTTTCAGGAACTACTAATAAAGGACACGTGGACAAAACCAAGGGGGAGGGTGGAATCAAGGGAGGGAGGTGGGTCTGGCTGGGCTGGGGGGGGAGTTGTGGGGAGAAAATGCAGACAGCTGTAATTGAACAACAATAAAGTAATTTATGAAACAAAATAAAATAAATAAAAATAAAATGCTAAAGAGAAAAAAGAATAAATAAAAACAGAATATATTCCATTGTTATAACTTACTCTTTGGTTAAACATATCTGGGATGTTATGTTTTTACACAATGAGTACCCAAATAAACTAACAGAATATTGTTAAACTTTAAAAAAATGTTCCAGTATTTAGCAACAACTTTCCGAGCATTTTTACTTGGCACTTAAAGCCCCGCCTACTTTCTATTCCAGCTGGATCTGCCGTTATTTCCTCTACAGTTCCCTGGTTCCTGAATTTTCGTGAGCTTAACAAGCATCTGAAATGCTTGTTTAAAAACGTCGATTCCTGCACCTCCACCCAGACCTAACAAAATCAAAATTTCTTTTTTTTTTTTTAGAAAGGGGAGGGAGGGAGAAAGAGAGAGAAACATCAATGTGTGGTTGCTGGGGGTCGTGGCCTGCAACCCAGGCATGTGCCCTGGCTGGGAATTGAACCTGGGACACTTTGGTTCGCAGCCTGTGCTCAATCCACTGAGCTACACCAGCCAGGGCAAATCAAAATTTCTAATCCAAAGATTTGCTAATCTGTATATTTAAAAAGCACCCAACATGATAATTACCAATAGGAAAAATTTCATAAAGTATTTCATACAAACAAGTTTATACTACCACCACCTCTAAGTATGCCTTCTACATTTATTCATGCCGTGTTCTGCCCGACTTTTCCCATAAAACCATATTTTTACATGAATGCTTCCCTGAAAACCTTAGTGATCGGTGTCTTCCTCTTCTGAACTACTGGAATTACCACTCATAACTTTGCGGTTTGGGGAGACAGTGTTACCCAACAGCAAGCGGGGTCTTGCTGCCCACCTCCGCCCTCCAGGCAAAGTTCCAGAGGCAATGGTTTGGGAATAAAGGAACCGAGTCTGTAGTCAAAGGCTTCACGGTTTTGGAGTCATAGCTTTCCACGAGCATTACTCACTTAAGCCTATCCAGGCAACGCTCTTTAAGTCTTTAGTTCCAGCTGTAATCACTTAAGCCTACCCATTAAGGCTAAAGTCTTTAACACCTGAGTTCTTGAACACCTGAGTTCTATTCTTCCCCTGTTTGTTTTAGTTACCTTATTTCTTTTTTTTTCTTTCCCCTAATTCTTTTTTCTAGTACTATCACATAGAATGTCTTCTTTTTTTTTTTAAGATTTTATTTATTTATTTTTAGAGAGGGAAGGGAGGGAGAAAGAGAGAGAAAGAGAGAAACATCAATGTGTGGTTGCTGGGGGTCGTGGCCTGTAACCCAGGCATGTACCCTGACTGGGAATTGAACCTGGGACACTTTGATTCGCGGCCCGCGCTCAATCCACTGAGCTATGCCAGCCAGGGCTAGTTTTAGTTATCTTATTTCTTTAGGGTTAGTTTACACGCTAAAACAACATAACACACAAAAGCTACACGATTTTGGAAGAATGGCCACCTTCTGCCTCAGAGCCCATCCCCACTAGAACACCCAAAGAAGAACAACCCTGCCCCTCTCCGCCCGGCCAGCCCAACCCTAGGCTGCACCCACAGTTTCTCGTCCCGTCCAACACACCTTACCTTCCGCTGGGAAATGCACACAGCTGCAGCACAACCATCCAGGCATCCTCCAGGAAGACAGGAACCCAAGGGCCCTTCTTTTGTTTCAAATCTTCTATCCCATCATTCCATGCGCTCCGGAGGCATCCAGCTTCTCAGGCAATCGCGTCCTGAATTGTTTACCTTTGTCTGGGGCAGCCTCCTCCTCCTCCTCCTCAGTGATGTGATCAGAGTTCTCCGAATCCATAGTCCAAATTTAGAGCAACCTGATAGCTGTCCGTATAAAGTCAAGCCATTAAATCTTAGGAGTCCTAATACTGAGCACCTAAGATGCATCTCCCAGATTGCCTTTCACAACTGGAAGTTGTTTTTTTAAGCCTGTCAGATTTTTTCGTTGTCCCTATTTTTTGTATTAGAAAAACGTCTCACAGCCACAGCCCTAGCTGGCGTAGCTCAGTGGATTGAGCGCGGGCTGCGAACCAAAGTGTCCCAGGTTCGATTCCCAGGCAGGGCACATGCCTGGGTTGCGGGCCACGGCCCCCAGCAACCGCACATTGATGTTTCTCTCTTTCTCTCTCCCTTCCCTCTCCAAAAATAAATACATAAAATCTTTAAAAGCCTCACAATATATATTTATTAGGTCGAAGGCCACAGCAACAGTGCCAAGGATAGGTAAGCTACTGCAGTGGGAATGCGGAGATGAGTGCATTTCAGAGATAATAAAGGTAAAACATCAGTGGAGTGGATTTATGCCAGAAGAGAGTATCCCCAACCTCCCAGGTCCTCCTTCTTACAAGCAAAAAACCCTGACCGTAACACAAGAAACAAGCATAGGAAGACTTTGAATGATGGAAAGGAAGAAAAATGTGAAAAGTAAAAGATCCTCAGGGCCTCACAAGTTGAGAAACAACACAGTGGTGAGGCCCCTGGCCTTCCTCATCACCTCCCACTTATCCAATTAAAAGGGTGTGGGAAAAGCCTCCAACTCAAAACTGCCAACAGGGACAGACAGGAAAAAACCTCCAAGAAAAGTCAGTCGTACGCCCCCTGCACCCCCGCCCCAAGAAAAATGACTCTGAAAACGGTAGCCCAACAACAGAAAATAATTAACATCATACCCACCTTACCACAGCCAAATGTCAATGGAAAACCCACACACACCCCTGCCCTTCCTCACCTCTGAAGTTTTAACAGATGGAGTAGGAAGCTCGGCATCCAACTCACCCTAGAAGCAAGCAACGTGATTTCATTTCTCCACCCAGGGGTTTCAGTTTCAGCAGAGCCACATAGGGAGTTCATCTTCTTTTTTTTTTAAGATTTTACTTATTTTATTTTTTTTAGAGAGGGAAGGGAGGGAGGGAGAGAGAGAGAGAGAGAGAGAGAGAGAGAGAGAGAGAGAGAGAGAGAGAGCGCGCGAGCAACATCAATGTGCAGTTGCTGGGGGTCATGGCCTGCAACCCAGGTATGTGCCCTGACTGGGAATCGAACCTGCGACACTGGGAGTTCATCTTCTATACCCCGCCTGGCAGAAGCAGGCAGCAGCGCTCTCATTCCACTGCAGGGACACCGTTGGCAAGCTGAGCCTCCACTCTTACCCTGTAGCAACAGAGTGGACAAGACACTGTGATTCACACTAATAGCACTCCACTTTCTTTCTACTCCCGTGTCAGTAGGCTCAAGTGAGAAGCTCAACCTGCACTTTGACCTACCCACACGAGACTGAATAAGATATGGGAAGCAGGACTCGTTAGTACTCAGGTCCCCCACTAGCAAGGGCCAGTAGAGAGCTTAACCTCCATCTCTACTCAGCATCACAGAGAAAGATCTAGATGGTAAAAGAAAAGAAAACAAAAACAACTATCTTGCTCTGGCTGGTGTGGCTCAGTGGATTGAGCGCAGGCCTGCAAACCAAAGGGTCGAGAGTTCAATTCCCAGTCAGGGCACAAGCCTGGGTTGTGGGCCGGGTCCCCAGTAGGGGATGCGTGAGAGGCAATTACATGTTGATGTTTCTCTCTTTCTCCCTCCATTCCTCTGTCTCAAAAAATAAATTTTTAAAAATCTGTAAAAATCACTATCTTAATTAGCATCCTACTCCTCTAGCACCCTTCTACTTGTGCTAAGGCCCAGCTGGGAGCTGAGCTTTTACTCCCACCCTGCAGGGACACAGTTCGTCTTCCCGTTACCACCTCCATGGAATCAGCAAGGCTCCATGGGAAGCTGGACTTGCACCAGCACTCACACCCCTCCCCCAATGCAGCACAAAGAGTTGCCCCACTCTTGCTAGAAGGGCATCAAAGGGTCCTAGACAGGAGCTGAACTTCATCACTACCCAGCGTTTACACTATACCTCTCACGGATACTGTGCACAAAATGATTCAAGACAACCTACAGTCTTCTAATCGTCAAAATGTCCAGACTAGTCATTTGTCATGATATAAGAACCAGGAAAATCACCGCTTCATGACAAAAACAATCAACAGACTCCATGATGAATCTGGGCAGTTATTTATATATCTGAGAAGGATATACGAAATTTTTCGGACTGTAAGATGCACCGGACCATAAGATGCACCTAGCTTTTAGAGGAGGAAAATAGAGAAAAAAATTTGAAGCAAAAAAATGTGGTAACATGTTTAATAACATAAATAACATAGGCCGCCACCCCCCACACACAGCAGGCCAGGTACTCTACATTCAGACTATAAGACACAGCCTTTTCCTCCCAAATTGGGGGGAAGTTGTCTTCTAGTCTGAAAATACAGGTGAGCAGCTATCAAAAAATGCTTCAGCAAGCAATGTGGTTGGTGTGGCTCAGTGGATTGAGTATTGGCCTGGGGACTGAAGGGTTGCCCATTCAAATCCCTATCAGGGCACATGCCTGGGTTGCAGGCCAGGTCCCCAGTTGGGGGCGTGTGAGAGGCAACTGGTTGATGTTTCTCTCCCTTTCTTTCTCCCTCCCTTCCCCTCCACCTCTCTCTGAAAATAAATACATTAAACTTTTTAAAAAATGCTTCATTCAGCAATTATGGGTTATCTTGAAACCAATGAAAAATACTTTTCAAATCTCAGCAAGGAACTATAAATTATAGAAGCAAATGGAAATTACAGAACTGAAAAATACAACAAAAATAAAAACTGTACTGGATGGGCTCAATAGCAGAGTGGAGATCACAGAGGACAGAATCAGTGAGCTTACGGACTGATTAATAAAATGTACCCAATAGGAAAATAAGAAAGAAATTAGGAAAAAAGGGAAAAAAATGAACAGTCTCAGGGACATCCAGGACAATAATAAAAGACCTAATATCCCTATTATTAAACTCCCAGAAAGAGAGAAGAGAAAAAGTGAGAATTAAAAATGATCCAAAGAGCCCTGGCTGGCGTAGCTCAGTGGATTGAGCTCAGGCTGCGAACCAAAGTGTCGCAGGTTCGAGTCCCAGTCAGGGTACATGCCTGGGTTGCAGGCCATAACCCCCAGCAACCGCACATTGATGTTTCTCTCTCTCTCTTTCTCCCTCCCTTCCCTCTCTAAACATAAATAAATAAAATCTTTTAAAAAATTATCCAAAGAAATAAGGAAAATGTTAGGTCAGAGTTGCTCAAGAAACCAGCGAGCTAAGGAGCAGGGTTTATTAGTGGGAATGAGAGGGAAAGTGGAGACAACCTAGGGAGGTTGGGGAGCCAACCAAGGGAGGTTAAGACTCGCTCCGTTGTCCTCAGGGCAGGGTTTTTAGGCACAAAACCCTGTGAAGGGTAACTGCTTGGGGCGTCAGCATCTGATTGGCTAGAGCTGGTTGCTGGGTGCCATTTCTGCTGACCACTGTTCTTGATACCTCTTGTCAGGCTCAAGTCAAAGCTGCATCCTGTTATGCTGGACAGGCCGACCCCAGACCGAGTCTTAGCCGGGCATCTGTCTGTCCTGGGTAGGGTCACCAGGCAGTTTCCCAGGCAGGCATTTTCCCAGGCTACAGTTTCCCACGGTACAGTTTTCCCGCCTGGTGACTTTCCATTCCTCCTAGGCCTACTACCTAGGTCTGTGAGAAAACATTCCAATGTGGGGGAAAATATAAACCATCAAATTCAAAAAAGCTGAGCAAATCTAAAATAAGAAAACAACAACAAAGAAATCCATGCCACCAAAACACAGCATAATTAAACTCCTGAAAACAAAGGGCAAAGAAAAAAATCTCAAAAGCACCCAGAGAGATATGGCACATTACTTACAGGTGAAGCTAAATTCAAATTAACAAAGATATCTCATCTGCAACCATGGAGTCCAGAAAAAAGTGGCACAACATTTTTCACATACTCAAAGAAATTTACTGCCAACTGCAAACTATATCTAGCAAAATGATCTTTCAGGAATGAAAAGGAAATGAAGACATTCTCATATTACCTTAAAAATCGCTACAGAAGATACTGCAAATGAGAAAGAAATGATAAACAGAAGAAGGTTTAGAACTTCAGGAAAGTAACAACATCGACTTTCTGTTCTAAGTTGCTGACATAAGAAGCTCCTGAATGCAATGCCCTCCACCAACACTGCAACTACAGCTACGCAAGGAATAATCCCCTCTGAAAGAAATTCAGAAACTAGCTTAGCAACTCATAAACCTTGAGCAAATGAGAAAAATACCCACGTCAAAACAAGTAGCAAAGGCTGAGATACACCCTCACCATAAACGCCACACATAGCACAGCAACTACTAGCTTCTCCCAGAGTAGAGTTTGGAGCAAACACATACCACCTCGACTTTTAACATTTATACCCAAGGGATGAGCAGCCAAAACAACTAACTCTGCAAGCCGATGGGGCATTTATTCAGGGAACACACAAGTCTATAGTAAACAAAGAAACAGTTCTTAACAGGCTTGTGAGGATTCTCAGTGGCTAGTCCCTCAAAGCTCAGCACAGAGAAATGCCCACTTTTTAGTCTTTTCCCCAAACAGGCCTGTTTGCATATTTTAAACCTATACCCTGAGGGTCAAGGTCCTTATTTAGCTCACAACTAAGGGCCAACTGCAATCTTCCTCCAGCCCACTCAAGGTCACCAGTACCTCCATGAAAACAGCTTGTGCGCATGTCTGGCATCTCAGCATTTGGAAGTGACACGACACTGGATTTTCTGGCTCTTGCGGCCAGAGGAGCTGGCATTCCCATAATACCATAGCAAACAAAGAAACAGATTTCATCTGGCTATGTCCCCAGGGCTCAGCTCACAGGCAGCTGCCACAAATTCCCCTCGCCTGGTCTTTCCCTGAAGGAAGCTGAT